ACTATAAATAAACCAACCCCCAGTCTTGAACAAGTGTAGGGGGAAAAAGGGTAGACATGACACATCGCCTAGTGGGCCACTATCTAACGAGTTTGACTATCAAAGGTAATTATTAACGTGATAATTATTGGACTCGTCATCCTACTGAAGAGGATTAGCTTCAGTGGTCGTAGTATCTTCCCCATCTGACTGAGAAGATTAGGCTTGGTCTGATTGCTCAGGTTGATCCTGCCTACTTTGTTCTTCAGCTTTAACCCTGACAATGATTTTTTGAGCATGTTCGTCTTGAGAGATTAGTTGTCTCCAGGAACAGTATTCTGCAACCCTCATTTGTGCTAGAAGGTCGGTATGCAAGTTGTGTCGATAGGTCTCCACTAGGGTAGACTGTGTCATACCTGTCGGATATCACAGAGCCATGTTTTGAAACCTTTTGACGAAAACTTTGACGGACTCCCTCTTCTTCTTCTTAGTAGCGAGAAGGGTATGGATGGAGACTTCTGTATCCTCTTCAAAATATCTTGACAGGAAGAGTCTCTCTAGATCCGCCTACTTTTGGATACATCCCGCAGGCAGTTTCCTGAACCATTCAAAGGTAACTCCCTTGAGAGTGCCAATGAACAATCAAGCTAATATGGCGTCGTTTAATATCACATTCTCAATCTGTGATTTAAAATGATAGATATGTTGGTTCGGTGATCCCGTGCCGTCAAAAGTTTGTAGCGTCGGGACTTCAAATTTTGGAGGATAAGGGGTTGTATCCTATTCGGCAGGATAGGGCCTGACAACTCCCTCGTCATGGAGCTCGCTTCTGTTAGCAATGATATTGAGGTGGGCTTCCAATTCTTCTATTTTGGCAGATTGGAGATTCTGCTCGTTCTTCGTCTCTCTTTCTTCATCAGAGGAAGATTCCAGGTTGTGGGCTTCTTGGTCAGAAGCAGCATCACCAACCACTTTTCCTTTCCCTTTGCTTATGTGAAGTCAGGATGAAGACGTTTTTCCTCTCCAGGAATATTCTTGCCTAGGTGGCAAATCTGTCTTCTGAGATTTGGTCTTATCTACGATGATTTGAGTCAACAGGGCCAGGAGTTCATTGAGGGTCTTCTGCTGTGATTTGAGCATGACATCCTACCCAGCAACCCTCTTTGAGAGATTTTCAGAATTTTCTGCCATGTGGGCGAAGCTCTCATGTTCAACAAAGGAACTTGATGATTGAGACTCCGCAATGGCTGAGTGTGCATCCTCGGAATTGGTTCCTCTAGCTAGCCTCCGATAGTTGATATGGGGAATGGCTCATGTTCGCGTCCGAGTACATTGGTAGATTCCTTCAAACTCATCAGTGATTTTTCTGATGGTCGGTGAACGACTTGTCTCAGAGTCATCGGAGCTAGGACCTGAGGCTTTCCCTCTACCGATCACATTGATAGTGACTCCAGAATACTCGGCCTCTGGGGACTTCTTCCTGTGCAAACATTGTCGTTGATTAGGCAAAGCAACGTTCATTAATTGGTCGAACACCAATTGTTTGGTGGCATATGAGCAGCATTAACGTCCTGAGAGGACCGTAGGAATCAGTCATTCACATTGGAATGAACGAATGACTTGTTGCATCGGTCTTTCTCTCGATATGAACTCTCTCAAGTCTGTTGTAAAGACTCGAGAATTACTCACTGATCGTGAGGTTTGAATTGGAACCCCCAGTCTATGATTGGACATGACTGGCTCTTGGTGAACATGAATTTGGTTTAGATACCTTGAATCCATGAACTTCTTATATCCGCCCCTTAATCTAGTCACGCTACATAGAGTATTCAGGGGGTCTCGCTGCTCGGTTAGTGAGCCGGGGGTCCAAGGGGCGGCGCGCCCCTGGACAGGGGGTCCAGGGAGAGTGGAGACCCCCCGATGGGGTTCGGGGCAGCGCCCCGAAGCTCCACGGTATACACCAGGTTCTGTATTGGATTTCATCACCCGAACGCATGCCTGAGCTCCAGGTTTTGCTGGTGAAACGCAGTCCCGAGGTCTGTGTTTTGCTGATGAAACGTGGTCTTGAAGTCTGCATTTTGGTTCTGAAACGCATGCCCGAGAGTTGCGTTCAGTTTGTGAATGCACTCCTGAGAGTTGCATTTTGGTTCTGGGACGCACTCCTGAGAGTTACGTTCTGCCAGATCAACGTAGTTTTGAGTTCTACGTTTTGATGTTGGAACGCGCCTCTAAGGGTTGCGTTTTATTTGGGAAACGCACCCCTGAGGGCTGCGTTTAGCTTGGCTTATGCAGAGCTCGTGTTGAGGCTCACAAACGTGGAGCTCGCGTTGATTGGAGGATCGGCTTTTTTAGAGTTGTGCCGAAGCTAAGTCTTCTCCTTCAGAGAGGGGACTATATGAACAGTGCAACCCCCAAAGGAGACAGTCCTTCGATGAGTAGGCCATAACTGGAGCTTTAGTCTCCTTGAAAACTTTGTGGATCTTACGCATAGCCTTGGGGATAAGGGACCCAGAGGAGAGGGCCTCCTCAAACTTGGCTTGATTGAACTCGATGATCAGAGTTTCAACGGTCGTTCCAATGAGCATGAAGTCGGATTGCACCACCACCTCTTTATCAGAGAAGCTAGTCTCCAGCAGAGTCGCCATCTTTTGTTTGATGGAAAATTTATAATAAAAAGAATGAATGGTATTCTCTCGATCTTAATTACAATTTGGATTCCGATTACAAAAGAGAGGAGAATGATTTGGGTTCTCTCCTTTTATTTAATTCTGGGTTCTTCACAGTAGCAATGGAGTGCCTCCCTAGAATGCTCGCGTCGAGTTTGCTCTCCGTTAACGATCCGAACGTCTTGATTCACTGGAACGATATCTCCTCCTCGCGATTTAACGCTATGGAGAACCTGCAAAGCAAGTTTTAGAACTCTTGATGAGTTGATAACTCTGAACGAGTTTGAAACTCTATAAAAGAGTTGATTTAACTGAAAATCGGTTTGACAAGCCAAGGCCGAAGGCTCCAAGGAGCTTTGTCGCTGCAGGAAGCTCCAAGATGATCTTCAAAGTTCCAAAAATTCCCCCCAAAAAAGCCATCCAATAATCTCTTCTTTGCTGCCAAGGAGAAGAATCAACCCGAGAGCCAAATCCAGAACCAAAAAGCCGCCTTAACTTAATTGAGTTTCCCACTATTTATAGGGGATTAAGGGGTATAACCGCCCCCTTAATTCGCTCCTAAGTGGGACTGAATAGGGTGTAACCGCCCCCTTAAACAGCTCCCCAAATCATAGGGAAAACAATTTTGAAACCGTTGGATTCGTGCTTTGAACGAGTCAAAACGTCAGCCTGGGCGTTCTGGGCCCGAACTTTACGTTTTAGACTTGAAACACAGAGTTGGGCCTATTTTGGTGGCTGAACGCACAGGTCGCGCTGTGTTGTAAATCTGAAACGCGGAGTTGGGACGCAGAGATGAACTCCGCGTTTTGGACCTGAGACGCAGAGTTGGGCTATGTATGAACTCTGTGTTTTGGACCTGAGACGCAAAGTTGTACTCTGCATGAACTCTGCGTTTTGGACCTGAGGCGCAGAGTTGGGCTCTGCATGAACTCTGCGTTTTGGACCTGAGACGCAGAGTTGGGCTCTACATGAACTATGCGTTTTGGACCTGAGACGCGGAGTTGGGCTCTGCATGAACTCTGCGTTTTGAGTCCACGAACTTTGCGTCTGGACTTGAATGCTGGGGATGGCCTCTGCGTTTTGACTCTGGAACGCGTGCATGGCCTCTGCGTTTTGATGTTGTAACACAGGGATGACCTATGCGTTTTCAGCTAGAATGCTGGGGATGAACCCTGCGTTTTGAACTTGAAACGCGGGCATGACCTCTGCGTTTTGCTTTGAAGAGACCGTTAATTTATAGTCTCTTTTGCTAGAGCGTTGCAAAGACCGTCATCTTGTAATCTTCGTCTTTTCTCCTTGAAAATATGAGAGTCGTCAGATTATAACTCCCGATGTTGATTGTAAAGGCTGTTGATTAGAGATTTCATCAGTTGTTGTGAAGATCGTTAGATTGTAACATTCTATGTGAAAGTCTTCAAATTGTAGCATTCTGGAAGCCGTCAAATTGTAACTTCTATCATCGATGTTTGATGGGGATCAACTATCTGTTGTGATTTTTAGACAGTCTACAATAATGCTTCTAAAATGAGAATTAAAAGATGGAATAATGTTGTAAAAGAAAAAAATTATAAACCCAGACTAATTCCAAAAGATGTTGGCCATAGGTGGAATTCCACATGTGCAATGTTAAGTGTAGCAATAGAATATAAAAAATTATAAATAATTTTATAAATTTTTATGCTTCTAGTTCTAGCTCTGATAGTACTCATGGAATAACTGAAGATGAATGGACAATTATATGTAATTTAAATAAGATGTTACAAGTCTTTTATGATACTACAATGTTATTATCTGGCTGTTATTATCCAACAATTATTTTAGCTGCTTTACAAATTTTAAATATTCAAAAAAAATTTACTAAATATCGTATGAATGATACTTTTGGAGCTATAATTTTTCAATGGAGAGTAAATTTAATAAGTATTTTAGGCCTATTCCTCATATTTTTAGTTTGGGGGTTCTTATTAATCCATGCCACTACTAAATAATGAGGCATCCTAGACGGAAAATTCCGTCTAGGATACTCAGAATTCCGTCTAGGATAAGTATCCTAATACGCGTCTAGGAAGTTTCCGTCTAGGATGTAGTATTCTAGACGGAAATTTCCGTCTAGGATACCCATCCTAGACGGAATTTTCGTCTAGAATGTTTTTTTACACTTTTTTTAAAAAAAAAAAGCATTCTAGACGAAATTTGAACATCCTAGACGGAATTTCCGTCTAAGATGTTATGCTACAGTAGTTTTTTTTTTCCCGTAGTCGTCATCGTCGTCTAACAATTATTCGATCAGAACTGAGAAGAACACAATTTAGAGCCACCACAGATAAGCAAACCATTGAATAGATTGATAACGGAATGTAGCGTGGGAATTCATAACACAGCAAAAACCCACCAACAGAACCAGGCTGAGATAAAGGTACAATAGTGGGAGAATATTAAAAGCACCTACTGGGAGAATATTAAAAGAGAGCAAAGTTAAATAACAGGAATATCCCCTGGTGCTTTCTTTGTTTTCCTTAGCTAAAACTCGAACCATTAACTTTCTCAGTACTTCAAGGGAGCGAGAACATCTAGCTGGGAACCAAGCTTCTCATCAGCAACCTTTCCAGCCTTCAGCCTGAGCTTTGCAAGCTGCTTCCTCCTTTCATAAGCCACCTGAGCCTTTTCTTTAGAGTTTTTGTTCTCTAGCTCCTGTGGAGAAGAATTGGAAAAAGCAGATTTTTGGTCATAAGTCGACTCATGCACAGGCATAAGTCGACTTATGGTAAGTCGACTTATGTTGGTGCATGAGTCGACTTACGTTCTGCTCTGGATTGTTGGTTTTTTGCTCTGCTAAGTCGACTTATCAGACCTGATAAGTCGACTTACGATCTGTTCTCCAGTTGTTGTTTTTCGCTCTGCCAAGTCGACTTATGCAGACTGTTAAGTCGACTTATGACGGGTTTTTTGGAAAGTTAGAGTTCCTATTTGCAGTCTGTTTGGGTTTCTGTTTTGGTATAAATACCAATACGATTTGAGGGTTTTGTAGGAGCAAATCTGGGGATTTTGGAGCACAGAAAAGAGAGATCTTTCTGAGCTATTTGTTAGGGTTATTGGTTGAGAGTTTGAGAGATTTGTTGGTGAGATTAGTTGGTTCGTTTGAGCGATTTGTAATCTCAATTTGTACTCTCCTTCTCTATTAGTAAAAACCCACCCCCCTTCTTGCCCCGTGGACGTAGGCAATTGCCGAACCACGTAAAACTTTGGTGTTTGTGTTTTGTTTGGTCTTTCTCTCGGCGTTTGTTGGTTTGGTTTCTCAAAGCATCATAGTTGGCTGTTTGTTTGGCTTCCGCGCCGTGCACAACAAGTGGTATCAGAGCTCGGGCAACGCTTGGGCTATTTGGAGGAGTAGATCGCTTTGGAAGTTCATCTAGGGCTTCGTTTGGTGATAAAGGTGGGATCTTTTTGGTAAAAATCTCGTCTTTTTCAGTTTGGATCTATTTCTCGTTTGTTTCCGCATTGGTTTGGTGGTGCCTTGAGGATTATGGCCGAGAAAGAAGGAGTTGTGGGCAGTACTTCCGGCGTGAAGACCGTCCAAAGCTTGAATATCCACTCGATGAAGATTGACGTGGAAAAGTTCAATGGCACAAACAATTTTGGACTTTGGCGATGCGAAGTCATGGATGCGCTCAACGCGCAAAATTTGGAAGATACATTGGAGTTGGTCGGGAAACCGGATAATATTGATGAAAAGGTTTGGAAAAAGATGAATCGAACGGCGTGTGGTGTGATTAGGTCTTGTCTCACTCAAGATCTAAAGTATGATGTGATCAATGAGACTTCTGCAAAGAAGATTTGGGAGATCCTTGAGAGCAAGTATTTGACCAAGAGTGTGGAGAATCGCTTGCATTTGAAGAGGAGGCTTTACCGCTTCCAGTTGAAGAAAGGAACCTCCATTGGTGATCACATGAACCACTACACGAAGCTTCTTGCGGATTTGACGAATGTAGATGTGGTGATTGAAGATGAGGACAAGGCGTTGTTGTTGTTGAGTTCCTTGCCCGACGAGGAATATGAGACCTTCGTTCTTACTCTTATTAATGGGAAGGCATCTCTTTCGTATAGTGAGGTCACCGCTGCACTTGTGAATTATCAGCTTCGAAAGAAGGATAAGGAGACTTCGTTTGAGCCGGTAGCGGGGGCGTTGGTCGCAAGAGCAAAGGGTCCAAACCGTAGTGGGAGGTCGCAGTCTAGAGGGGCACATCTTGGAGTTCGTAAGAATCAATGTGCCTTTTGCAAAGAAGATGGACATTGGAAAGCCGATTGCCCAAAGTTAGTTGATCGAGCCGGGAAGAATAAGGGAAAAGCTATTCAAGCTTCAGAGGCGAATGTTGTCAAGGCTAGTGGCAACGATTCAGATTCGGATTCTTCGGGCTACTCGTTATCTGCACTGCCGTCAGTTTGTGTTGCCTACTCTACAGAGTGGATATTGGATTCGGGTGCTACATACCACATTTGCCCTAGGAGGGATTGGTTCTCCAGCTTTCAGGAGTTGGAAAGAGGGGATTTCGTGCTCATGGGGAATGATCACAAATGCTCTATTGGTGGTATTGGTACTGTTCGGATCAGGATGAGTGACGGGGTGATTCGGGAGTTGGTTGGAGTGAGGTTCGTTCCTCAGTTGAAGAAGAACATCATTTCACTTGGAGCTTTGGAGGCAGCTGGCTATAGGGTGACCTTGGCGGATGCACGCTTGAAGGTTACATTTGGGTCCATGATTGTGATGAAGGGCGTCAGAAGAAGAAATTTGTATTATTTGCACGGAAGCACGGTGATTGATAGGGAAATGACGACTTCATCAGATTCGGCTAGACTGTGGCATTGTTTGGTGCTGGGGTATATGATTGGTAATACCGTGCATTGGTTGTTGAGGAGTGCTATGACCTGCAGATTGAAGTCCTGTGAGCACATTAGGATGAGCGAGACCGTGGTGGAGTTTGGCACTTCTATCCATCGAGCGAGGGGTCTTTTTGGAGGTGTTCAGTCAGGCATTTGGGGGCCTTCCAAGGAGGCATCATTGGGAGGTAATCGTATCTTGGTTTCCACAGTTGGTGATTGTTCTAGGCATTATTGGGTCGCGACCAGTTCCCGTTGGTGTAAAGTCCTAGAAGTCAACAACAATTGGAAGAAGTGTATTGGCAGAAAGGTAACTCATTGTTTCAGCTTTGGTAGGGGTCCTTTCTTGCGTTGGTGCCGAGCTCACGGCAATAGGAGACACTTCATTGGTGTGGAGACTTTGGGGCGACGAGATGAGATGACAGTTTCGATGGGTCGTTCCTTTCTGGAGGAGGATCGGCGTTTGATGTCGAGCATTGGCATTGGTGTGCGGGCTTCGACATATTTGGGTCATCTTATGCATAGGTCGCCGACTGCTGCTTTAGGAGTTATTAGATCTGGTGGAGCTGCTTCAGATTTTGGGTCGCGTCGGATATTTGGATACCCAGCATTTGGTCACATCGTGGATGTGAGATTGGATCCGATTGCGCGTTTGGGGTTCGGAGGCTCAGTTGATTATCGTTTGGGAGCTTCTGATTTTGTTCTGAGCAGGTATGTCACTTTTGACTCTCGGCAGGTGGAGAGTGTTGATCAGGTCATTTGGATATCGCAGCAGGTGGAGAGTGATGCTACTCCACGTTGGGTGGAGATTACTCCACATACTCCAGATCATACTGCGTCATTTGGGATTCCAGCTAAGGTGACACAGGTTGGAGATCATTTGGTTTTGGATGCAGATGATGGATTGGTTTTGGATTCAGTTGCAGCTGGTAGATATAGTTTGGATATGGCCATTGGTTTACCTCAGGTGGAGGTGTTTGATTTGTCTCAATTTGGGGTCATTGGGAATACTATCAGTTGCAGATCGTTTGGTGATATTGGAGAAGAGTTGCAGACTTTTCTATTTGATTGAGGGCCTTTGGAGGCCGTTTGGGTGAACTACGTGAAGGCTTGATTCCTTGGGCAAAGGATACGTAGGCAGTCATTTTGATGCAGCCGATTTGGTGAGCGACATCGACATTTGGGGTGAGTGTTCACACTCTCATTTGGGTCTCAGCATGTGAGGCATTTGTTTGGTTGGTGTCGGCTCAGTTTTGGGAAAACTTCGCCGAGGTGGAGAATTGTGGAGAAGAATTGGAAAAAGCAGATTTTTGGTCATAAGTCGACTCATGCACAGGCATAAGTCGACTTATGGTAAGTCGACTTATACAGACTGTTAAGTCGACTTACGTTCTGCTCTGGATTGTTGGTTTTTTGCTCTGCCAAGTCGACTTATCAGGTCTGATAAGTCGACTTATGATCTCTTCTCCAGTTGCTGTTTTTCGCTCTGCCAAGTCGACTTATGCAGACTGTTAAGTCGACTTATGACGGGTTTTTTGGAAAGTTAGAGTTCCTATTTGCAGTCTGTTTGGGTTTCTGTTTTGGTATAAATACCAATACGATTTGAGGGTTTTGTAGGAGCAAATCTGGGGATTTTGGAGCACAGAAAAGAGAGATCTTTCTGAGCTATTTATTAGGGTTATTGGTTGAGAGTTTGAGAGATTTGTTGGTGAGATTAGTTGGTTCGTTTGAGCGATTTGTAATCTCAATTTGTACTCTCCTTCTCTATTAGTGAAAACCCACCCCCCTTCTTGCCCCGTGGACGTAGGCAATTGCCGAACCACGTAAAACTTTGGTGTTTGTGTTTTGTTTGGTCTTTCTCTCGGCGTTTGTTGGTTTGGTTTCTCAAAGCATCATAGTTGGCTGTTTGTTTGGCTTCAGCACAGTCATTTACTTGCAGCAACCATAGGGTTTTAATCACAAAGGTAGGAAAACCAATCAATGTAAAAAAAAACGAGAAATAACAAAAGACTACAACAGCATTCATGAAGTATATGAAGTAAAACAGAAAAGTATATGACAACTATTAACTTAGGAAATGTGACAGCAAATTATATCTGCAATAATCAAATGCTAATTGAGCTATAAAGGCATCAATGTCATTGATCAGCTTACAATAGATTAAGAGTCATTTTATTCGAATGAGATGAAAAATAAAGGCATCAATGTCATTGATCAGCTTACAATAGATTAAGAGTCATTTTATTCGAATGAGATGAAAAATCACCTTGTACTCCAGTTTCTTTGATGGTAGACATGAACTCCTGAGTACCACGCTTCAAAATAGGGTTGTAATATGAAAACAATGCAATTGGGCAAGATAGCTTGGGTACAACCTATAAGAAAACAATTGCATGGACACAAAAATTATGTCAAAACAGGCAGACTGCATAAACCCCTAAGGGCATTAGCATGAAGTTTAAAATATAGAAGCTGTTCCAACTTAAAATCAAGATTGTATACAGGCTACATTAATATTCAACTTTTAATGTTCATATTAGCTGGATATAAATACTTGCACTATCACTTGTCTATTAACTTAGGTAACACTAGTCGTACTTAATGCTAATAATACCAAACTATATACTAAACAGTTAAAACACAAAGGAGACTAAACAGAAAACCTCTGGAAATGTGGACTCATTACTCTAGGAACAGAGCCCTTAATGCAGATTTTTTTTTTAGTCACTGGGTAAACAACATCAGTTTTTCCTTACCCATATGAATATACCCTTTTTGAATACATCAGTTTTTCCTTACCCATATGAATATACCCTTTTTGAATACATCAGTTTTTCCTTACCCATATGAACTGCTTATCTTTCTCAGTCCATGAACTTAAACGGAAGCCATAGAAAGAGCCCTCAAGCTAAGTTATCCAGAGTAAAGACATCTCCAAGCTTGGATACACATCAATCTCTCGACCAACATTATTCACTCTAGTTCCTCTCAAGCCATTAACCTCTCAAGCCATTAGATATGGAGCAGGCATATCCAATTTGCATCAACAATTCGACTTTACCCCGGCAGTTTCCCACAACTTATTACAATTTGTTAATGATGACAGCTATAAAGAAGCTGTCAATGTTTAAGAGTAACAAAGAAGTTGATAACGCTGAGCGTTACAAAGAGGTATAATTGACATGTGAATATAAATGATGACAACAATACCTAACAGATGAGTGTGCAACTTTAGTTCCATTAGGCAAATTTGGGGATGTACCATGGTTCTGAGTATGAGCAGAAGCAGAGTCTTCTTCATCGCTGGCCAAAAAAAACATATGAGCACCAAGATTAAGGGATATTCTTTACATAAGAGAAGTTGGGACCCCAGGACAAACCTTCCTCGTTGAAGTAATCTTCTTCCTCTTTCTCAAGGGCCCGCTCATCAGTTCTTTTTCTGCAGTCCACTATGTTAACGGCATTCTTTGTCTCACAAGGCTCAAGTGACTGTAAGAGGGATTAACGGGAAATTAGTTCCCCAAATAATTTATTGCATGAGCAACAGAGCAAGTTTTAATGTTCAACCATTAGTCTTGATTCTATATTTTTGTCTTCAAACTCTAATAATAACCAGGTGGAGGATTCACTTCTAAACCCTTTAAAATCCGTGTAAATATTTCTAGTAACTATTCCATAACGACTTAAAATTTGATGCCATCTGAATGGGTGATCTCCCTTTTTCCCCCCATTTTGCTTGTATGTTCATCCAAGAAACTCTAGTTGTATGCCTCCTAATCCTCGAAATGACCCATTATGCCATCCCAAAATTAAACCACAACGCTAACTTAAAGCAAACCATTACTCTTTGGAACTCAAGAAATTAGTCTACTACTGTCTACAATTAAAGACATTTCACATATTTAAATCTAGCTATAGCTCCCAAACCAATCAAATTCAACAGAAAACGAACGAACGCCAAAAATCCACAACCCTAACCCTAACCCTAACCCTAGAAGAAGGGGGAAACCAAAGTACCGAGGTCCCGGAGATCCTGAAAGTGCTGCTGCATGGCTGCCTCCTCCTTGAGGATAAGCTGTGCGGTCTTGTTGGATCGCCGAGGGGCGTCACCGACCATGAAGAGAGCTTCGAGGAGGTGATCGGCCCCGAGCCTGATGTCCGCGATGAGGCGAGAAGGGGGAAACCAAAGTACCGAGGTCCCGGAGATCCTGAAAGTGCTGCTGCATGGCTGCCTCCTCCTTGAGGATAAGCTGTGCGGTCTTGTTGGATCGCCGAGGGGCGTCACCGACCATGAAGAGAGCTTCGAGGAGGTGATCGGCCCCGAGCCTGATGTCCGCGATGAGGCGGGAGGCGTGGGAGAGCCTCTTTTTGCTTTTTATGGGCTAAATGTTTGGGCCAGCTGAATCAGCGTCACACTCCCCAAGGTTACAGGTCGTTGTTTTGGATGAAATGCAGGTTATAGTTCGTTGTTTTACAGTCAAATTTCAATATAGATGTCTGTCTGGTTGAGATTTCGTTGCAAAATAACGAAATAAGCTAGAACTATATCAGCTGTAATTGCGTACAATTTAATGAGTGTTATAAGTTATAACAACAAGAGTTGGAGTGATAGAAGTTATAAGCACATTTGTTGTTACTAATAAGTGGAATGCACGTACATATATATATGATAACATATTTTATCAATTTTCTTATCATTAAAAAGTATTTTTATAAATTACATTTTAGTAAATGCCTAAATATACGGAAAGGTTAGGAGGTCCATAATTGATAAGATGTTTTGAATAACTAGTTAAAGTTTAATTATAACTAATAGTATAATTGCAAGTTGTCAAAATTTGAGAGGGCAAAAAAAAAGAAAATTAAAAATTTTGGCATCAGAATTATCTTTTATAAGTAATATAGATACAGATGTGAGCTCCAGCCCCTCATCCTCCTCTTAGAAATGTATGTCACTTTTCACTCTTCCATCTTTTTTAAGTGTAAAATCCATATCTTTTTCGAATTTAAAAGTTTTCTCTAGAAAGTTTGACTATTTTCATTCTTGCATCTCCTTCTCAAATTTAGAATTTTATGTGTGACTTTTTTTTATTAAAAATCATATATTTTAAAGAAAAAAACAATACAAAATCAAATAGGCAGTAACATATTTTTAAAAAGAGCCTTATTTAACATGTAATTAATAATTAATTGAAAATATTTTTTAAAAAGCAAATATAATTGTTCTGTTTATATCCTCTAATGCTCAATAAACTATTATATGAATTTTAAGCTTAATTGATTCCTCTTATAAAAATAAAGGACATAATAAGTATTTTTTAAATGCATAAAAGATATATAATATCTTGTTATTCGGATTGATATTTTTTTACTAGAGATACTACAAATGCATATTAGGGCCTGTTTGTTTCGCAAAAAATTGCAGAAAGTGGGGGGAAAGAAAATGAATTTTGATGTTTTTCTCTACTTTTTAATGTTTGGTTCGTCAAAATTCAGAAAGAAAGTGAGGGAGAAAATGAGTTGTCACTATATTATTGGATGAGATGAGTAGTTTCGATTCTTAGATTATGGATTTGTGGCTAATTTTGATGATCAAGATGTCTAATCTTAACTTTTCAATTATAATGGACATATTAACAAACTCTTTTGTATCACATGAACTATGTTTTTCTCCATACTATCTAGTTTTCTCATATCCGTTTTGTATCCGCATGCATATCCACTCATATATCTGCATGTATATCCGTAACCGTATCCGATTTTAGCGGATATGGTTATAAATTTTTCTTACCGAGGTATATCCGTATCTGTATCCGAGATGGGTAAGCGGATATGGATATGATAAGCATCAATTCTTCAGGCTATTCATGCCCTGCTTTACCGTCGGTTTGCTATGCGGATTCCACGGAGTGGATGATGGATTCGGGAGCTACATATCACATCTGCCCTAAGAGGGAGTGGTTTTCTAGCTTTGAGGAGCTGGAAAGAGGGGATGTCGTGCTTATGGGTAATGATCACGTATGCCCTATTGGTGGTATTGGTTCAGTCCGGATCAGGATGCATGATGGTGTAGTGAGGGAATTGAAGGAAGTGAGGTTCGTGCCGCAGTTGACGAAGAACATCATTTCTCTTGGGACTTTGGAGGCAGCAGGATATCGAGTGATCTTAGAGGATGCTACAGTGAAGGTCACGAAGGGTTCTATGGTGGTGATGCGAGGTGTCAGGGAAAACTACCTATACTACTTGAAGGGCAAGACAGTTACAGGGGGTCTGGCAGCTTCTATCACTACAGAGGAGGACACTACCACCTTATGGCACATGAGACTTGGACACACAGGAGATAAGTCCCTACAGTCATTGGCTAAACAGGGGCTATTGAAAGGTGCTAAGACCTGCAAGATGGAATTGTGTGAGCATTGTGTACTTGGGAAGAAGACTAGAGTGAAGTTCGGCACCGCTGTTCATAACACCCAAGGTACATTGGATTATATTCACACGGACGTTTGGGGTCCTTCCAAGAACACATCTCTTGGTGGGGCCAACTATTTTGTCACTTTCATTGATGATTATTCCAGGAGGAATTGGGTATACCCGATGAAGCATAAACATCAGGTCCTGGATATTTTTGTGGAGTGGAAAAAGAAAGTGGAGCTGCAGACAGGTAGAAAGGTGAAGACTCTACGTTCAGATAACGGTGGAGAGTACAAGAGTGATCCGTTTCTGCAGTTTTGCCGGGATCACGGCATTAGAAGATACTTCACAGTTCGAGAGACACCGCAACAGAACGGGGTGGCTGAGAGATTGAACCGTACCTTGCTGAAGAAGGTGCGGTGTATGATGACGCAGAGTGGATTGCCTAGATCCTTTTGGGCCGAGGCGTTGGTTTATGCGAGCCATCTTGTGAACAGGTTGCCGTGCACTGCGATAGACGGGAAGACTCCTTTGGAGCGTTGGTTTGGTTCGATGGCTAGTGACTATGAGTCGCTTCGGATATTCGGGTGTCCAGCTTATTATCATGTCAGTGATGGTAAATTAAATCCGAGAGCGAGGAAAGCAGTCTTTGTGGGATTTAGAGATGGAGTCAAAGGCTTCAAGTTATGGGATCCACAGGACAAGAAGATAGTTATTAGCAGAGATGTCACATTTGACGAGACGTACATGATGAGGCCTCGAGCCCCTCAGCAGGTGGAGGAAGACCAGACAGGAGAGATATCGCAGAAGGTGGAGGATGATGTGACTCCACCCACTCCAGAGAACACTGTATCCATTGAGGCTCCTACAGAGGTGACACTGGGAGGAGATGAGATGACAGATGGGCAGATACAGGATACAGTAGATCATGGGACTCAGGAACAGGGTCATGTTCAGAGGACCATTGCAGCAGATAGACCGAGGAGAGAGATTCATCGGCCAGCTAGGTATAATGATGTCATGGTCGCATATGCATTATCAGTGGAGGTCGTTGATGATATGATTCCAGCCACATTCAGGGAGGCAGAGTCTAGCCCCGATTCGATCAGGTGGAGGGAAGCTATGGAGGAGGAGATGTTGTCTCTTCAGAAGAACGACACTTGGACACTTGTACATCTACCTAAGGGTAAGAAAGCTATTGGTTGCAAGTGGGTATATGCGAAGAAGGAGAGATCTTCTATTGGGGACATTCGGTTCAAAGCCAGATTAGTTGCCAGGGGATATGCACAGCTTGAGGGCATTGATTACAACGAGGTATTTTCACCCGTTGTGAAACATTCGTCGATTCGGATTTTATTGGCGTTGGTGGCACAGTTGGATTTGGATTTGGTCCAGATGGATGTGAAGACAGCCTTTCTACACGGTGATTTAGATGAGGAGATCTACATGACACAACCAAAGGGTTTCAAAGCTGCAGGAAAGGAAAATTTGGTTTGTAAGCTGAAGAAGTCTCTTTATGGTTTGAAGCAGTCACCAAGACAGTGGTATAAGAGATTCGACGGCTTTATGATTGGCCGAGGGTACACAAGGAGCCCATATGACCCATGTGTTTATATGCACAAGCTACAGGATGGTGAGCTCATATATTTGCTTTTATATGTTGATGATATGCTTATTGCTTCCAGGAATTCTTCAGCGATTCGAAAGCTGAAAGAGGAGTTATCATCCGAGTTTGAGATGAAGGATCTTGGAGAGGCAAAGAAGATATTGGGTATGGAGATCAAGAGAGATAGGGTGAGAGGGAGTTTGAAGCTTACACAGAAGAACTACTTGCAGAAGATGTTGAAGAAATTCAGCTTTGATGGCAATGCAAAAGCAGTTAGCACACCATTGGCTCCCCACTTCAAGCTTTCAGCGTTGATGTCACCGGTTTCAGTTGAGGACAGAGATTATATGTCGAAGGTCCCATATGCTAGTGCAGTAGGTAGCTTGATGTATGCGATGGTGTGTACGAGGCCAGATTTGTCACAGGCCATGAGCATGGTATCGAGATACATGCATGACCCCGGGAAGGGTCACTGGGAGGCCGTGAAGTGGATTCTACGGTATGTTCGAGACACCGTGGATGTTGGTTTAGTGTTTCAGAAGGATGAGAAGGACGGGCAGGCTTGTATTAGTTATGTGGATTCAGATTATGCTGGAGATCTTGACAAACGCCGGTCTACGTCAGGTTATGCTTTTACATTGGCAGGTGCACCTGTATGTTGGCGTTGCACGCTTCAGTCCACAGTGGCTCTCTCTACTACAGAGGCAGAGTATATGGCAGTTACTGAAGCTATTAAGGAGGCTTTATGATTGCGTGGATTATTGGAGGACTTGGGGATTGCACATGAGACTATTCGGATATATTGTGATAGTATGTCGGCTATCTATTTGGCAAAGAACCAAGTTTATCATGCTCGCACAAAGCACATCGATGTCAGATTCCACTTTGTACGGGACGTCTTGGATGATGGAGATGTCATATTAGAGAAGGTCCACACAAATGACAACCCTGCAGATATGTTGACCAAAGTTGTTTCAG